GCTAGATTAACTTTCTATTGTCTCTGTTTTTGAATGAAAACAAAACTAAAATACTATTTTAATGTAAATTAAGATAGAGGACATAATTGATTTACAAATCACATCTCTTTTTTGAATAAAGATACATAACAAATTAAAATGCTCTCTTTCACACAATAAAGCAAACAAAATAAGAAAAATGAAATGAAATGGTCTCTAGTGTTTTCCATAATTAACTACTTGATAATCATGTCACACACGAATTTTAGAAATTGAAGATTCTTTTGAGTGCCAAAGCAATGTGGGAACTTGGTAGCACGAAAATCTAGCTTCTTGTGAGTGTGCAATTAAAACCTACAAGGAAATAAGATATCATTATTAATACATATAAAATGGTTATAAGATGAAATAGAGAGTGCACCATCCATATGAATGGAAAGGTAAATGAGACAAGTGTAGATGATTGAAGTACAAGCCCCCTCACCTAAGAATCCATTGCACCCATCTTCAGCACCGTTAACATTATCCTTTTCAGAATAACTACTAATGCTTTCTTCAAATTTGAATTAGGCATACTGTACCCATAAGAACAACATATATTAATTAATGGTGTAGAAAGCAAGAATATGACTAACATGGATAACCAAGATCTTTTTTTTTTTTTAAGAAAAGAAACATTAAAAACATTGAAGTAAAAAGAATAAGACTTAGGGTTCTCTCATACATGTTATGAGAAAGATATGATATGTTTGTATAGAAAGATTTCTAAAGATTATGCCTAAGATGTCAATTGTATATAAACACAAGACCAAGTTCACAACAACCATGAATAATCTCATACATAGAGATAGAAATATCACCTAAAATTCCAATCTAGTTCATAGCCATTAATTACCATCTTCTTTAGCGTCATGATCATTGTTTTCTCCATTGCCCTTTCTGGAATTACGAGCACTCTGTAACCATCACAATAACATGTTGAAAGGGGAAAGCAAAAACTGCAGTAAAAAGTTGTATAACTGAAAGTGCTTCCTTGATTTGCATGGCAAAGTAAAAGAAAAAGAAGTTCATCAAATTACCATGACCTTGCACTCTAATCCACTAATCATATCTAGATATGTTTTGAACATCATTAGTTAGAAGAAATGGATACTATTTAAATAAAATGAAAAACATAATTTAGGTGATTCTTTAATTAATTCGAAATCATGTTCTTAACTAATGATTAAGGAAAAGGTTAAACAAAAAGCTTAAAAAGGTGAAAAAAAAAAAAAGAGGAAGTCTTTGAATTCATCACCACATACCTTTTCCTTGAACAACTGTTGTACAGTGCTGTTAAGGTTCCCTACCCAGCATCTTTCAACTCCATCTCTAACAACTTTAACGCCGCCTTCATCTTTATTAAAAATATCATCTATTTTTTTCTCTATATCTTCATCGATATCTTTATCCATATATTCATATATATCTCCTGTCAATTTCACTTCATGCAGTTCTGGTGTGCTTAGTTCTCCCTTAGAGAAAATCTGCATATTTGGACACTCTGTAACAATTACCTCTTCCAAATCTGGGAATTTAAAGTTGCAGTCCCCTGAGCAGAAGCTTTCTAGTCTTGGTAGACCTTTAAGTTGCAAACAATTCAAATTGGTGAAAACAATGCCATCCTTCACAGCATCACCCGAACATACGACAATTTCTTCTATCATCTCACAATTGGCTACTTTCATCTCATAGAGCTGCCCCAAGCTTTTTGCGGTTGAGTATCTCACTAAACTGACAAGTCCATGACACTCAGATACTACTAGAGTCTGCAAATTGGAGAAATATACAGTGGAGGGAACTAAATTCTTCAATCTGCTACATTCCTGCACTTTTAGAGTTACTAGGTTTCTGAGAATGTCTACTTCAAGTTGGGATTCTTCCTTCCAAAGATGTGTTAGCTCATGAAGTTTGGACAATCTTAATGTCCTTAATGGAGTGCGTCCACATAAAAGTTTTTCCTCACCAGTAACTTCTTCACATTGGAATATTTCATCGAAGAAAGCATCCTTCACAAGAAGCTTTTCGAGATTGGGCAGAGAGTGGAAGAAGAAAGGCGGGAGCAAAGCCGATTGCTTAGGAAAGCCAAGGAGGTGCAGAACCTTTAGTTTACCAAAATACCCCTCTGGATGATGTCCACACAGTATCTTTATATTGTCATTCCATTTCACAACCAGCCGTTCTAGACTAGGAAATGTAGCCTGAGAAATTGACACCAGTTAAGAAGACAATCCGAACTTTAACCAAATCTATTACTCTTTGATAAATTTGTCATTTCTAAGTTATACAATAAATCTTGATTTCGAAAAAAAAATAATTCTTTTATGCTTATTTCTAACCATAAAAATTGATTTCCACATTTTTCTGCCATTGAAAAATCACTTCATCTCACATAAACGCATCTATTTTTTCCTTCTTTATTATTGTTTTGTTTTAGCAATTCTTCCATGTTTCTATGACTCCAATTTCAAGAAATAATAAATTATTATTTAGGTGATTGCTATGTAAAAATCTTTAATTATATATATAATCATATAGGTTAATCTGCAGAAATTTGCTAAAAATCTTAATTATATATATAATCATATAGGTTAACTGGTAGAATATTCTCCTAACAAATTTTTTTTTTTAATTTGCAAATTATTATTCGCTTAAACTAGACGAAAGACCCAGGTATTAAAATGAAAAAGAAATTTTTTTTTTAAATATATATAACTTTTTTTTCTCATGATGTTCAGAAGTTAAATTTAATTACATGGAGTTTACTTCAATATAGGATTATAAGGATAACAAAATTTTTGTTAGTATAAAAAAAAAAATCAGAGCAAAACATTTTTAAATTAGGGTGGCCAATCTCTGCTTGTAGGAATTGTAGGAATTCAAAACAAGGTTGAAATATTTTTTTACAAAGTTCTAATAATTTAATTTTTTTATCTTCAAAATAAAATAAAATTAGTACACAAGGAAAACAAATGGAAAATTTTCTTTATTTTGTCTCCATATATTACTTTCCCTATTTTCTTGCCTTCATTTAGTGTAAGAACAAAAATGAAGAGCATGTATTTGTATATATATGCTCTGATACCATTATATTTTCGATCCCTTTCTTTCCCCATAAATTCATTATCTTTCCTGGTTTTTCAAAACCCAGTGACCCCCCTCTTTCCCAAGAAAGCTAGTGACCAACCCAATCAAGAAACTTGATTTCCAAATCCCTGGTGATTTCTCC